TATATATATATATTTATGTAACTTACTGAGCTGTTCTATAGAATATATACACAACTAAAGATTTTTAAACAAACATGCTCTTCCCTTCAATACTGTAGTCTCCACCTAAACACACACCATACAAAAGCACGCTCGTTTTTTTACTATATAATTTAGACATACAAACACACGGTCACTTCTTCTAAACGCACGCTTCGATCCGCGAAACACGCCAACATGTAAACTAAAGCTTGACAAAGGGAAATTTCCGCTACAACCTGCACAGCTTGCATAAGGCAAGCCTAGACAACCGGTGAGACTGGCCCTCGTGCACAACAAAGAGAGTAATGGACAGAGTTTTCACACTTAACTTTCCACGGGCACATAGGTCTAGGATTGGCCGGGTGATATGTTGGGATGTTGGGGGACTGAAATGTTTTTTGATTGGTCACTCGAAATGTGTATTCGACTATCGAGAAAAAGTTTCTGATTGGCATTTGGGTGACTGCATGTAATATTTAGTTAGACCTAGGTCTATGACGCACAACATGTGTGAATGCTGTAGAAGTAGAACACCTAGATAGGTCTCAATAGGATTAAAGACTAGTCAAGAAGGCCTAATCGCCTGAGTTCGAAGAACTTATAACGTACTTGCTCAACGAATCACAAAAGAGAAGTCTCTCAGAATGTAAATCTCGTATGATTCTGATGTCATCCATAAACGCACGCTCAGTATAAACACACGCCAAGGAGCCCTCCAGAGCATCGTGCATTTAGGTGGAGACTAGTGTAACTTTTTGATGACTTTTCCCTTGCTTTAAGCTTTTTGTCCTCTTTAAAAGGATCACAAGACAAACTTTGACAAAATGTAAGGTTCATGGGCAGTTGCACATAAATCATATGTAGCCTTTTCGAAAATAGGCTGTGGACATTCAAATACTGTTGGCTACAAGACAAATATTTACACCAATTCCACTTTTCTAGAATTTCTGAAACAGCAGCATCCCCTCCTTATTTTATGTACAGCCCACGACTCAATACAAACTTTTGTTTAGATAATATAAGAGAAAAACAGACTAATAAGTCACACTAAAATGATATTTCTTTGAGGAGGAGCACCTCTGTTGCCGGTCTGCAGACGGTGGTATGTGCATGCAGGTGACTTTGTGTACGTTTATGAGTGTGCATGTGTGTGTGTACTCGCATGTCTGCACGCATGTACGCGTGTGGGTGGGAGGAAGGAAGTCAGATAAGCTGCAATAATAGAATAGAGACTTACCGTTCCCCCTTTTTGTGCACATTCCCAAAGGCGCAGGCGTCTAAGAGAAGAGATGTCCACTTAGTGGCAAGCCTTCTGTCTGGGTCATCTTTCAAGATGTGGCCACAGATGTGGTCAAACATGAGGAAAGTTATGCCCGTCTTTTCAGATCCCAAAGTCCATAGCTTTTGCATAAACTGTAAGAAAATATATTACAAATTTTAAGAAAATGATTGCTAAGAAATAAAAATTGTATATGTTCATAGTGTCTTGTTCTTAATAAAAGCCATCGTTTTCTATCACTCATCCACATGGATTATAGGCCAATTGATCACTTCTTAATTAAAACATCCATCATCAAAAAATAAGTTCCACGAAAAGGTGATGAATAGAATAAAGTAAGCAGAACTTACATCTGATGAAATTTGTGGCTTTTCAAATGTCATTGATACCAGATCATGGTAAATGTCTGATAATGACCAATGCTTCCGCAGAGGAGAATATTTCTCAAGTGAGATAAAAAAAAATAATAAAAGAGGGGAG